TGGGGTTAGATCACCTAATTTACCTTTGATGGCCCAACAAGAACATCTATGGAAGCTGCAAACGCGCTGCAGATGCAATACGCTCCCACGTTTCAAGGAGCCTTCCCAACAAGAGATCTGCCAAGCTTTGTATTCTGCTCACCAGGAGTAACCCACATCAGTTTTACCGCAGAGGCTGTATTGCAAAAGCTGACTTCTCTACGCAAACACAGCTTGCCGGGTGTCGACACCATTCGTCCAGAGGCGTTGGGAGCAGCAGCAAACCAACTGGCAGGACCTTTAGCTCAGTTTTTCCAGCACTGCTTAGACCAGAACCAAGTTCCCGCCATGTGGAAGCTTGGAATAATAACCCCGATTCACAAAGGTGGAAGTAGAACTGATCCCTCCAACTACCGCCCAGTAACCCTTCTTCCTATACTCTCCATGGTCATGGAATCCATAGTTGCCGATGCACTGGTGTGCTATCTGTAAAACTGCAACCTCATCACCTCTGAACAGCACGGTTTCCATCGACAGCGGTCATGTACAACTAATTTACTAATTGCACGCAGTAGTTGGACCGAGGCAGCCGACGCTGGAGAAGGTGTTGATGTGATCTACCTGGATTTTTCCAAGGCTTTCGATCGTCTAGACCATCGGATACTACTATCCAAGCTGCAGCATTACGAGATCGGTGACCCTCTTTTAAGCTGGATCGCCAACTTTCTATTTCAACGGCAATTAGTGGTCAGAGTTCGGAGCTCTTTATCGGACCCCATACAAGTCGAGTGTGGTGTGCCGCAAGGCTCGGTTCTAGGTCCACGTTTGTTTTCAGTGTTTATTAATGACCTTGCACAGGGAATCGCTTCAAACTTCTTAATGTTTGCCGCCGATATCAGGATCTGGCGCAGGATCCAGGCGAACACCGACCAACATGTGCTTCAGAGTGATTTACATACGGTGTATCAATGGTCGACCAAATACTTACTGCATTTCAACGTCAGCAAATGCAAGGTGCTTTCCATCCGACATCAAAGCAGCTACTCATACCGACTCGGAACGGATGTACTGCAACAATCAACTCTCGAACGTGACTTGGGTGTCCTGGCTCAAGATGACTTGGGTTGCTCCAGGCAATCCGAAAAGGCCTCGAAGACCGGGAACCAACACGTCGGGCTGTTGAGGCGGGCGTTTGAAAAAACAAACAGCTCCATATTTCGACAAATGCTCAGTGCGCATGTTCGCCCCCATGTCGAATATGCAATTCAAGCCTGGCATCCATTGCTGAAACACGACCTTAATGCACTGGAGCAGCCACAACGCCGGGCACCTAAAAGAACGTAATGGGAATGCGCAATCTTTCCTACCAGGAGAGGCTGCAACGACTGGGATTGTTCAGTGGAAGCTATCGCAGACTGCGAGGCGACCTGATTATGGCATACTTGATTCTGCCAGACCCACCTCATGTGTGCCGCCCTTTACTGCAACTCAGCAGCAATACAAACCTGAGCGGCCACTCATTAAAACCCGCAGAACAATATAGTCGTCTGGAGTGCCTCAGAAATTTCTTCTCCATCCGTGTCTGTCACTCGTGGAATGCTCTCCCAGAATCGGTCGTCTCTGCACCGACACTAACAGTATTTAAAAGACGGTTGGACGATGCACTCATCCACTTACACTTTGCCACTTGACACTACGTCTCCATCCTACATCTGGAGTTTACCATGGAATAATTTGTTGTTAACTGTGGATGCTTGGAATCTGAGAGGATCGCAGGACTGTAGCGAAGCAAACGATAAGTCCTTATTTTCATATTTAAAGTATTAACTATTTTACTGTTCTTATCATCATTATTGTTATGTTGATATCCCCTGCAACTATCCAACGGGATTTGTAAAGCAACGCTTCTTAACCCGTATAAATTCATTGTTCATTGTACATAATATAATCTAGCAACAGTCAACCGACAATGGAACAATGGAACAATCTTATACCACGGATACAAGAGCCAATAATAGACAATTCCGCAGGAATGGTTTATGGGAATAACGTTTGTTCAATGAAGTTGCACAACGTCTCGCTCTTGTGAGGCGATTTTCAAAATGTCGTCTCGAAGCTTATATGCGTACATGAGCTTGTGGCAAACATGCAAGATTTTGCACGTGTCCGTGTTAAACGGAACTAGATTTACCTTCTACCATTCAAAAGCGCAGCCTAAGTCTCGTTGCAACATATCGTGATCTTCCTGACAGTCGATTGCCGGACATATCCTGATGTCATCGGCAAAAGCAGGAAATTTGACTTGATGACACTTGTAAGGTCGTTAAGTAAGAATAAGGATAACAGCGGCCCCAACACCGATCCCTGTGGAACACTGCAGCCCACATCAATTGGATCAGAGAATGAACCTCGAACTCGAAGCTGAAGGCGCCGCTAAAAGAGGAACTTGCCGATCCATCCAAGAACAGGGTTTTCAACTCTATATGCTTGCAGCTTGTAGAGAAGGATCCGGTGATCTATGCGATCGAATGCTTTGGAAAATTCTAAATAGATGACATCAATGCCGGTCCTACTGTTGGCTATCTCGGTCCAACTGTAACGGGCAAGCAGTAGGTTGGTAATACATGACCGATGCTGACGGAATCCGTGTTGCTCCGGTGCTATGATGTTAAACCTTTCAAAGTAGCACATTACAAACTCAGCTATGATCAATTCCATCACCTTAGAGAGCACCGGGAGGAGAATCACTGGATGATAGTTGGCTGGCTTTGAACCGCTACCACTTTTGAAAATCGGGGTAATAATGCCTTGCTTCCACATGGTAGACACCTGCTGTTTGTCCAGTCATCTTCGGAAAAATTTCGTTAGTGGTTCAGCTATCCTCGTAGCTGTCACCTGCAGCGCTTTCGGGGGAATGTTGTCAACTCCGGGGGAACTATGGGTGCGCAACGAGAGCAGCTTCCTCAAAATGGTAGCTGAACTAAACGTGACGTGGGTCAAGTCTGGCATCTGGGAGTATGGGGCAGGTATGTTACAAATGTTTGAAGCACATCGGAAAATTGGGGCATATTGTAGCCGTAGAACGTTAGACGCGTTCTCGGCTGCCTGAGCACATCCATCCGCTGATATTAGTGGGGGAACACCACGTTTCACATTCCGGAGGCTGTTCCCATGTCTGTACAGAAGCTATTGGTTCACACAAAACTTTTCCGCTGGACTCTGCTGATGTACTAACTTGTCCTCGCGCACAAGTATGATACAGTGATTACGATGCACAACATAGTTACTCCAGTTTCCAGGGCTGGGGTCTCACTGTCATGTGTTTCCGGGTTCTGCTCCGAATGAATGATTGTTCCCTAGCAGAAAGAAGGGGTTTGTTGACCGATTCAGATCTAAGCAGACCACTGAACTTGCCAGTAAAATCCAACAAAGCACTGTCAATGGAACAGTCGCCCGGAAACTACCAGGTGGCATCTCCCACAAGTTCTACCAGTGTGTTGTAGTGGGTGTTTCTTCGAAACAAGTTAGTATATTCTTGTGGATATTCCGCATAACAAACGAAGTTGTAAATTATGGTTACGTTTTCGCTTCACCTCAAAGAGCTCTTCGGCCTTGGTTTCTAAACCATTAGCCCTTCGTTCATGAGCACTAAATCAAGCACAGATGGTTTATTTCCGGCTCAGAATCTGGTGGGTGTACTGACATGGCTGAAGAGTGGAACGCTTGCAATATACTCCTGCAGGTCAGCCTTAAACTGCTCGTGGGGATGCCAGAACTTCCAAATCGTGAAGATTGAAGTCACCTGAGATAAAAACATGGATGGGTCGAATGAGCGTAAACGCACGTTTGTGTGACGAAACGCAACTGGGAATGGAGGCCAAACCACGTGTTCACGGATGAGCGATTAGAACGCAGGTTCGCTCAAGGACGTTCAAAGGTTGTGTCTTTAATTGAGAAAATATCTCGAAAAATAAAAAATGAAAGCATGTAAATAAAATTATAAATTGATCCAAAACCAAACAAACCTAATCCAGGAATGTGAACTGCGGTTGGAAATAATAAAATAAGTTAAAAATGTACATCACTATCCTCCGATTTGTCATCTGCATATAAACTATCAAACGTTAAGGTAAATTGTATGTTACCAATAATTATGTACAATTGTTATAACTACATAAATAAATGGTGTGTTACGCGACATTCCGAGACACAAACTGATTACTTGGTCCGATCATATTGTACAACATAATGACGTAGTGATGAAAATTGTCTAAGTGTAACAATGTTTCTTCTGAAGGATTGGAAGTTTGCTATCAATTAAAGTAGTGCAAGAAAGAACTGATAATAAGAATACTTGTAAGAGTCGTCATCAGTTCAACTAAAGTAATACGGTCATCCATGGAACCGTCCATTGGGAACCAGCTTCCGTGCGGACAAGTCCCTCGAGAGGTTTCATCTGCACTTCCACCTCTCATCTGGCCATTTTGTTACTGGTTGCTATGACATTAAGAATATTAAGGAAAACTGGCATTGTAACCATAAAAACGAAATGAATGGCCAAACAAGAATAAACACGGTCTAATCCTAATGGACTTATAATAATTTGGCCAACACTGTAATTGTCTCCAAGTCCGAGCTCAATGAGGTGATATTCATCATGCCGATGGCTCACCCCAAGCAAGCACTTGACTTGCAGCGAGCAAGACCACCATCCCAGTAACTCTTCGGAATCCGGTCCTAAGAATCATTGTGATTTGATCAACATGAAACAGCTTTGCGCAACATAATTCGACAGTTAGACCATTTCTGTGCTGGGCCTGTCCGACTTCCATGTGCTGAACGGTAAACAGGCCCTCTGCAACACAACGACCTCCTCGTGAATGCGATAGATCGTCCACTATGACCAACAGCCACAGACCACACAACAACTCATGGCACGTACACCTACATGTCTACACTTTCACTACGTCGCTTAAAATTTGACGGGCCGATTGCAATGTGGCAGAACTGAACAAAGTTACCTGAGCAGGCGAAAAGCGATCCATCTGAGGGCTTTGACAACATCTAGACGGTTGGCTTTGCTTTCCGATATGCTTTTGATAGCCACAAACTGTCTCAAACGATGGATGTACTTTTCTTGCATTTGTTCCATGAATGAGAGTAGGGAAAATATTTTGCGATCCATTCTCTGAAACAGGAGGCAAAAGAATGGTGGGTTCAGTGCAGATGAATGGTTGGGTTTACTGGTGTCAGTGGAAATGTCAGCGATATGCACTTCTGGAGGATGATTGGGGTCCAACTCACATGGAGGCAGGTGATATGCAGGTATCTTTGTCGCTTATAAATCGGAATTCATCACCCAATCGCCGACACCCACTCAGAAAGACTGTGGGTCTTTAGTGGTGCTCCGTAAGGATCATTCATCGGCCTGCTACTGTCTGTATCAATGACCTTGAGGTCAGTATTCAATCCCCAATGCAAATGTTTTCAGATGTTGCTAAGATTTGGAGAGCTATTCGCTCAACATCCGGCATTGCATATCTCCATAACGATCTGGAACGGATTTACAGATGAGAAGAAATGAACCACCACCCATTGAATCCTGCAAAATGTCATTTGCTGACGTTGCGCAGCAGCTTCAACAACACATTTCTTTCGATACAGTATGCCCCACAACAGGTGATGGGTGAAAAAGACCTAGGTATCTTTGTTCAAAAAGTCTGGGTAATTCGCTCTAATATTTGAGGATTACAAATCTCGCGAACCTAAATGTAAGACTTTTGAAGCAAGCTCTTGGTACTTTTGAGCGATAGCTGGTACCCATGCTAAATAATTCGCACATTCGTCCTCACGTTGAGTATGTATTTAATGTCTAGTGTCCATGGTTAAAACGAAACATTCGTCGCTTGAGGCAGCCACAAAGAACAGCCACCAAGATGACACGTGGACTATCAGACCCCAATTATGAACTGTGCCTTCGCTCAATCGGTATGTTCTCCACAGCATATTGATGGCTTTGCGGAGATCTCATTCTCCCCTACCGGATACTAATAGAAGGGGACCATCCAATCGTTTTTCACAAATATCTAAGATGAGGGAGAAAACAACTGAGTTTGGGAGAGCGTTCCAGGGTTGGGAAACTCGAAGCGAAAAGTAATTCCTGCGACACTAGATGGCTGTATTGTTTAGTAAGTTACCTCTGGGGTTAGTGTTATGGCTATTTTAGCAAGGGCCGGCGTACATGACTAGGACCACACAATATTTGGTACACTAATATACGATCGTCGTGCAGACTTCGGTAGCGTACGCTGAAAACTCCCAGTGACTTCAGCCTCTCTTGACAGGACAGTCTTCGTAGATCCTTATGGTATTTTGTAGCCCTGCTTTGTAATGTTTCTAGCACCTCCCCGTTACCCTTCAACAAAGGTTGCTAAGCTTGGATGGGGTATTAAACGTGAGGACGCACGTAGGCATTATGCACTATCGGGAAATTGAATGGATCAAAACTCCGAAATACCCACCGCATCAGACCAACATGCTGTTAGCCTCTTTACGCAGCAGCCTCAGACTCTTTTGAACAGCTGTCGCTCTATAAGAACACATTAAGCTCACGTTCCTGTGAGCTGGTGTACAATCTGTGGGCTCCAAACCAATACGTTTAGCCATGCCCACAGCTTGACTGGAGAGCGCGAAATTGGTTTACACTGAATGCTAGGGTATTATGAACTGACCAGTTCCAAATCGGGTTGACATCGCGATGGAGTTCTTCGTGGTCATTCAATACCCTGACCGTCCGCCATGTCTTGATATCATCTGGGAAGAATAGGAAATCGGAAGTGATTACACTCGCTAGATGGCTTATGAAAATCAAGAATAGACAAAGCCATAGCACCGGGTCTTGTGGCACACCGCACTGCAAATCATATGTACCGCACAGAGATTCTGGAACTCTCACCAACCGACGTTCATGCGGGAACTTGTATATCCAACGCAGATGTAGGTCACCAATGCCATAGATCTGAGGTTTACGTAGGAGAATCAGTGGTCTAAGCTAGCAAACAATTTTGAGAAGTCCAGGTAGATGACAATGGCACTTGTCCAAGCATCAAGTGCTTCAGTACAGCTACTGCGCGTAATTAACAGGTTAGTAGTATACGAGCCCCATGTCGAGGCTGATGTAGCATCCATGACGCTTCTTCACCGTAGTTCGGCTAAATCAATGTACGCTTAAACTAGGTCTTTGTAAGGTGGATAAAATTCATTCCACTTTATTTGGTTTGTTCTGTGTATTTGATAATCTCCTAATTTGCAAACGTCACTCCGACTAATTGCGGTAACCTTGTGTAAGTTTATCACGCGGTAATTTTTAAATAACTTTCGGACATTTTGTACTTGTCGCGGATTCGCTTATAACCAATTAAATTCATATGCTAATATAGCGAGTATTTATGCCGTCATATAGGTTTACTTTATTCGATATCTTTTCTATGATATTAGCTTTTCGAATGATTGGCTGTTGTGTGACTCCCAGGTGTGGCTGCGCTTGATGTGCATGTTGACAAGGTGCCTACCTGTCTATTACCCACTACCTCATTCATACCGGCTCGAGGAGACAGTTGGTCGTTGCTGGAAGGGACGGGCTGCACGATCCTTGTGACCGCGCGAGACTCGAAGAGTGGTTCCATGTACTCAGTGTGGAGTGGACTACGATTCAGCCACCGCCTTGTGTGCACTTGATTCCCCAAACAGAGCGTGCTTGTGTTTGCCTGTGAAAGAGTGTGGGCCGGCTCCGTTGATGAAACGTGGCTCCCATCCACCTACCTCCAGGTTTTATTCCTTCGGGTTTACACTGGATATGGGGTGTGTGGTTGGAGCTGTGGGTGGTGCAGCGCAAGCCACCCATGGTCCCTCTGTAGGCGCAGGCGTCCTGTGGCTGGCCACAGTGACAGGCAAATCCGAAACCGGATGCCACCAACCAGTATACGAGCAGTTTGGCGGAAGCCATGTTACTCCGGGGCTATTGTGATATCTTTTCAGATGTTGAATCCGCGGGTCTGCGAAGACTGGTTCCATAACTTTGACAGGTATAGGAAACAGCATTACCGGATGGTTATTGATAGGGCCACTGCGGCTACCTCCCTTATACTGACTGACTTTACTGCGGCTAGCTCCTGCGACAGGATGAGCCGACTTCATGAATGTCGCGGATTTCAGCTGCTTAAGTGCGGCGGTCGGCGGCAAGCTCCATACAGATACTGATTAGATGATTCCTCCAGTGACGAACACCATGCACAACATGGAGTCCCAGAAGATCGACATCCCATTTCACTGCAGCCAGCCAGGTTTCAGATGTCCACCACGACGACGACATAAACTCTGGCAAGGCGAGGTTGACTCCACGGCTTTTGTGAAGTCATTGTTGGGTCTGCGGATGACGTGTCCGAACCACTGAAGTCTGCGGCGTTGGATGAGCGCTAAGAGCTTCTGAAGACTGTAAAAGCGCTTACGCATTTCGTCAGTGGTGGCACGCGCATGCCACTGCGTTTGCAAGATAAGTTCTAGACACCAATGGTCGAAGGCTTCCAGCTTCCTGGCGTCTTCAGATCGCAGCGGCCATGTTTCGTAAGCACAGAGTAAAAGGATGCGAATAGTTGCTGAGAATACTCGGTTCTTCCTTCTCAGACTAATTTACATCCTTCACCACAATGTGTTTCTCAGTTGTAAGAAGATTGTTCTAACGTTATCAATGCGATTCTAGATTTCGGATGTAGCCTGACCATCGTGGAGTATAGCGGATCCAAGATACTTGAACGCAGGAACAGAGTTGATGATTTGTCCATGTAAGGAGAGCGACGGACGGACTTGGTGGCTAACGATTAGTAGTACTTTGTCTTCCTGATGTTAATTTTGAGGCCGATCATAGAGGTTGATTGATCGACCCGATTTGGCAGTGACTGTAGTGATATAGCAAGTTCTGCAAGGATAGTGATATTGTCAGCAAATTTCAGGTCTGACAGCAAGAAGGCAGGGCTAACTGGAACACCACGATAGCCTTCAAGACCATGATGTATAACCCAGTCGACTGCGAAGTTGAACAGCACTGGAGAAAGTGAGCAACCTTGCCGGACTCCAGTATTGATGTCGATTTCCTTTGTTTCTCCTCCAAAGACCAAAATCCGGGTCTTCGTCCAACGGTAGTATGATCTCATCAAATTAACGAGTTTAACCGGCACGTCATCGGCAAGTAGGATTCTCCAGAGTGCTTCACGGTCAGCTGTCAATGACAGCTCAAAAATCAACGAACCACACAAACGTGGACTGCTGGAACTGGTAGCGGCATCCGAGTACCCCACCTAGAGTGATTTGGTCAGTGCAGCCTCTGTCTAGTCGAAAGCCACCTTGGTTATGGCGAGTTTGCAAGTTCCTCTCATTGGCAAAGTGGGAAAGCAATCTTCAGGCGAAGGTTTTGGCTGCCACATCTATTAGACTACTCCCGTAATAAGTACCGCACACAGTTCGGTCACCTTTCTTGAGAAATGGCAGAAGTACTCAGCTACTCCCATATTGAGTAGAAGAGCTCGTGCAAATTGTCAAGGAGAGCTGGTAGACAAAATTTGCAGATTTTCGCTGGACTCTGGTCCGCTTCCGGGACTTTCTTCGGCTTCAGGTGACGAAGCATGTCTGCAATTTCTGTGGGAGATGGCGGTGAGCAATCCGCGTCATATCCTGAGTAGGTTATTGCTGAAATGTGTGCGGTGGTGTTGTGGGCGGTTTATAAGGTTGCTAAAATACTCTACCCATCTGGAAAGTTCTCCTTTCGTATCGGAAAGGATTTAGCCTTCCGAATTGCGCAACATCGGCTGTGGTGAATAAGGCTTGCCGGAAACTAAACGTACGAGACGAAAGAGATGACCAAACTTTCCAGAATTTGATACAGTTTCCATGTGGCCTGCGGTAACAGACCAGTAGCGGTTGCGGTCATTCCGTGCTGAGCGGGTTGCCTCACGTCTCAAGCAACGGTAGTTTAAGGAATTTGTGCGATGTGCTTCTCTCGCTTAGCGGAAAAGCGGATAATATGTTTAGTGATCCAGTTCTTCACAGGCTTAGAGGTAGAGCCCAGGGTAGATAAAGCGACGAATTGAACTGATGACTTTAGCCTAGACAAACGAGCGTCGACAGCTTCATCTA